TGAGCCATAAGAAGTGGGAGGCATGTCTCACTCAACAATTGATTTGTGTAAGGGGTGGACAACCTGAGGCAAGATCTGGGGAGATGTAATCCATCACTGATCTCAACAGATCTTCTTCTTTTATAAGAATCTAAAATTTGCCTGAGATCTTACTGCAATTATTCCATTTCATGATTTTCAGTTATTCCATCTCCAAGATCATAGCGTTCTTAAATCTGGTTTCTTTTTCTCAAATGATCTCATGCAAGAATGCTGGAATTTTGTGACAGTCTACAGTCTTGCAAGATTTTGCCTTTTTTAAAAAGGAGTTACCTCAGTTTATATTCTGCAAACCTGTGGGGTGGGCACAGACTTTGCCATAGTGTAAAAAGTGTACGAAGCCAAGGAGCAAAGCTTACAGACAGTCCAACTGAGCTCAACACAACTTCTTCCTCAGTGGCCAATTCTTTTTCGTTTAACGTGCCTCTAATTTACAATCCTTGGTGTCACCCAGATGTTTGTTCATAGCTTTGAAAGCAAATTGGACACATGTGAGAAGTCTGCTAGCTCCCTATGGCCATGATGGCTGGTTAGAACCTTCTCATTCAGAAGCAACATTGCACTCCTGATATGCAACTCAAGTGAATGAATACCAGTTGCTGTAGATCCTAAACTGGATAATTGAATAACGAGACGGATATATTATCAGCAAGATATGCAGAGGTTCAAACCTTTCTGGGAAGGGAGATAACCAAGGAGCTTCTACCACCCAGAAGAAAGCCCAAGGAATGCCAAAGGGGGGGGGAAGGATCCCCAAATCAGGGTGACTATTAACATACATCAACCCTTGCACCATTGCATACCAGTTGGGTGTGCCACGAGAGAGAGTGGTGTCTGCCCTTGCCCCATGCTTGCAGGCTTGTTCCTGGGGGAAGTAGATTATGGGAGAAGGTCAACTTTTGGCCAAATCCAGTAGAAGGTGTTTTTTTGTTGTTGTTGTTTTTGGTGTCATCTTTGTCAAATGTCCCTGTTGTCACTGTTTTCTTTTTCCCCTTTTTCCAGCATACTGTTGGCATCCTGAACCGGAAATGGTGGAATTCCCTGTGCATTTTTTTTCTCCTCTCCTGGTGGGAAGCTGAACTGGGCTCTCTGTGCTTTATGCCCACCTTTTCCTTCTCTCCAACATCTACAGTAAGCCTATGGCAGCATCCATGTTAACCAAAAACTGATCTGTGGGAATGTCAAAACATTTTTTAAAAAGCACTATATATATATAAAAAAAAACAATTAAGAAAACAGTGCTCTGTTATATGAGACATAGAAGTAGAGAACTATAAAATAGACTTTTATAACACCTTACTTTAACACACTTTTTAAAAAGTGGGTTTTTTTTCTGTCTACCATCAAGACAAAGTGCTCTTGCACAGTGGACTTAACTAGGTTAATTGTTCTATTGTCAATGGATAAATGTTCGTCTGTTTTTCAAAGTGTTATCTTAATGTTTTGTTTACATCCTAGTCTATATTGACTTTATTTGGAGAGACAAAAAAGTTGTACATCATTATCAAGTATATTCCACACCATTTTTTCATGATCATGATATCTTACATTTTCGTAGAGGACAGTTGTTATCTATTTCCCTTTCTCTCCCTTCCCCGTACCCTTTATTTTAAATGATATGCTAAGAATGTTACAATGGGAAACAGGAAGGATTTGCTTTAAAAAAGGAAGACCTGAAGATGTTCAGACTGGCTGCAGGTAGAAGTTGATTTCTGAGCATTATTTGTTACAAATAACAGAAAAAAGACAACCACTCAGCCAGAAACGGGCCAGAAATTAAAATGGACCAAGGACCAAATGCGAAGAATTTTCACTCGAGGGCAGAAAATATTGGCAAGAACAAAAGTTGTCTGCCGCCAGTTACCATTTTATGCTGGACGTGGCCTTCAACACTTCTTAATCCTTTAGTGGCCAAGTTTTAAAGAAATCATGGTGAAGATTGATTCTTTAAAAAAAAATGGGGGCTTCTTTACCCTGAGAATCAAAGACTTCTGCTAATCTACTGGGATATACACAGAATAAGAGGAGAAACATGCATTATCCTTTCAAACATGCGTAACCCAACCCCATATCTTAGATCAGATAAGTAGCACCAAGCAGATGCCTCAGTTCTCCATTAGCTACTGCTCTTGCCAGTAATAATAATAATGAATTTCCTTGCCTCTCATCACATAAAGGAACAAAGTAACTGTTACAGCTTTCCCAGAAATTTTCATTTTTCTTATAGGTTAACAGTTTCCTTTCCATATACCGCTGATTTACTATACAGAATTTAGGAAGGGTCAGGAGATAATTCTGGAAACAGAATTAGTCCTGAGAGCTTGCTCATTTTAATTTGGTGAGTTTGGCATCTTCTGAGGGAAGAAGAGGAGGAACAGAGAATTGAGCTACTGTGTTGTTCTTCTGTCAAATCCTTGCCCTCTAGCATTTTGTTTCGCTCTGTAAGACTGAACAAAGTTCTCAGGGCCCTTGAGGAACGTTATTTTTTTAGAGGAAGTGGTTTCAGATGTCCACCACCACAAACGTAGCTCCTTCAGCATCCCAGTACAAGAAGACAACGTGGCTGGGTGAAGAACTAGCTGATGCTCAGTTCTGAGGCGTGGGATTCTTTGGTGGTTCTACTTTTGTGCATGAACTGAGATGCATTTTCAAAGTTGGAACCCCATAAAATCCAACAGTATCCAGAAACAATGATACCCCGCCTTTGATGACACCCCCACTTAGGGGGGAAATGGAAATAAGCCTTTGAAGAAATAAGACCTTTGGTGCTACTTTGGAGGCTTATCGGAATGTACGGCCAACCATTTTAATTTGGCATCCTTGCCCATCTGAATCTACTTCAGGTCCTCATCGCAGACTTTCTGTTTCCTGGCTTTGTAACTTTGTTAATGGGAAAAAAATGGATTTGAGTACTCCTTAGCTGCAGATAGTTGTATATTTAAAAAGGATGATGATGATGATGATGATGATGATGATGATGATGATATGGGATTTGCACAACCTGTGGCAGTGCCTCTACAGAGAACATCCCTGATCTCTAGTTGGAAAGGTTAGACACATGCACACACTCACGCATTTGTGTACACACGCTCGTGTTAGCTTTATGGTTTTCAAGGAGGTTGAGTGTCTGCTTTCAGTGCTATATACGGGGATACGTGTAATCTTGTCACACTGACGTAACTCTCTCCAGTTTTCTCTGAATGATGTTGAGAAAAAAAAATCTTGCGTAGATGTGCACAGAATGTAAGCCTAACACATTTCCACAGCATTTAAGTCACAGTTTTAAAGTGCTCAAAAGACAAAACGTCAGGGGTGCAATTTCTTTATTTTTCTTTTCTTTTTTTCCTTTTTTGGCAAAATGTAGGAGCCAAAAAAAGTAGAAAATCTTGACTCCCAGCTGTCGTATCAAAGTGTCCTATAGCGTGTTGAGAATTTTTGTACTCCTGCAACAGACCACATTTAAACTGATTATGTGGCCACACACATAGCACATCACACACACACACACTCTCACACACACACACACACACACTTTCTTATATGGAGATCCAGTGATAGGTGTGTCAGGGTAACTTTCCTAGGTGCCACAAGAATTTTTTCTTCTTGTTTTTTAATATCAACTTTGCAAATTTAGTGTTTGTTTGTAAGAGAAAAAAAGTTTGGAGGGAAAAGCAAAGCTTGAAGCTTTGGAAACTTCACCAAATTCAACCCAAGGGTGGGAATAGAAATGCCATTTGCGAGGGTAGCACTATTGAAGATTGTTGTGCAATGACTTCTTTATTCAAGAAAGAAAGAAAACACAGTCGGCAGACTATAAACTCCTTAGGAGCTGCATTCTGTCTACAAAGTCGCTGAGCTGTTTGGTGACTCTAAATCGAACCTCCCAAACCCGGATTCAGGTGTGACTTGATTCCCGAGATGACTGTAAAGATTGTTCAAATCTGTGTAAGTTTAACAACTTGTTACAAGCTTGTGCAGGTTCATCAAACCTGTGTATTCCTTTTTAATTTATCCAAAGTTCTTTCTCTCAAAAGTATGCATGTGCTTATAGATTGGTGTACGTGTGCCCATTTTCTCTCAGCCTTATGCAAATAATATGCAAGAAGTGCAGAAACTTGAGTAAAACGGGTCATTGCAGAGGGAAAACGGAAAAGCTGATTGAACGTTTTTGAGGGGGGAAATTTGTTAGCCATTCCATGAAAAAAAAACATGTGTTCCTAAACCTTTAACATACATGCGCAAAGAAAGGGTTTTAAAAGTCAGTGGATTTGTAAAATTATTATTCTTATGTTAAAGTACAGTGTTCTAACGGATTAGATTATTTTTTTTCACAATCAGCCCTATTGACAAAAATTGTTTAGCATAAAATGGATTCAAGGTGGATTTTTTTTTTTTTTGAAGTGGTGTCATTTTTTGCATTTGCGATGCTATGTGAAATTCTCCACCCTGTTCCCCCGGCCAGTCCATCCCTCGACCATTTTTTGTGGGTCGCACTGTGCGTTCTGCACTTGGGGGTTCTCGTTTAGCTGTTGCAACTCCTGGCAAAAGAGCCCGAGTCCTGGCGTGGCCAGGGTGGCTCCAGATTCCCCACCCCACATTTTTAAGTCTTGCTAGTCATCCTGCCGCTTGTTCTGAGAAAGCAAATGAAGAGATTTGTTAAGCGGGCACCATCACGAGAGACGAGATTTATGTTCCTTTCCCCTCCTTCGTATAATGTCAACGGAGAACTTCAAAACTCCGTTTCTGAATCTCAACCACGTTGAAATGCGGTGTGGAGTTAGGCTGTTTGCAGAAAGCAGGACCCTGGTGTCTTTTTTCTTGTTATCCCAGTCTTAACTGGCTCCCTAACAAATCTCTGAACTCGAGGGCAGTTGGCTGGATTTTTTCTCAGAAGCAGACAGCTGCTCGCCTGTCAGGAGCTTAGCTGGCTGACTTCTCAGCACAGCACGGTTTACTTGGAGAGTAAACAGCCGTGGTGTTTAGCAAGATATTTGAGCCATGATGTTTTTTCATGAAGTTAGGCACGGGGTTGGGGGGAAGTACGTTGGAGCTAGTCATTGCGGGGGGGGGGGGAATCTTAAGAACCAGGTCTGCACCCTCATGTAAGGGGGTCTGCGGAGAAGCAACCTTTGGGAACTTAGGGGGTTGTGGTGCAATCCTATCCATGCTTCCTCAGAAGGAAATCTCAGCATTTCACTGGCGCTCTCCAGTCCCTGTGTTTGAAGGCTGCGGTCATGCAATCCAGGCCTGTAGAAATGACCCTTTTTATACACTAGCTAGTTATATAAACAGTGATGTATGTTGAATGTTGGAAGTCTAACAGACTGGCGAGAGGCAGGCTGGCTTCCTGTGGATTCTCAACCTTGCTGATTACTTAATACAGGAGCGATCTCGAGGACACTTTAGTAGACAAAGTTTTAAAAACTGGAGTTTCCCCCCCCCCCTTTTTAATCCGTAATACATTTCACTTACTTACAACTGAAAAAAAAAAGTGAAATATATGAGGAAAAGTCTTAAATTTCCCCTTCCTCCTGAAAGGATGTACCGAAATAATTTTTACCATGTGCCTCATGAAGGCCTTAGAATATATTGTATGTTTAAGACTGTAGTAATTTTTTTAAGGAAAAGATACCTATTAGTTGATAGCCTAAAAATAATTGTAAATAGAATTTAAAAGACATTGTTAATAGGCTACAACAAGTTAATTCATGTTGCATTACTTTCCATTTCTTTTATTGTTAGTTTTAACAGATTTTATTATTGCTTTTATATATATATATATATGCACACACACATGTGCGTGTATACATATATAAATATATAATCTTTAGTAACTAATGAATTTAATTTTTGAAGGAGAGAGAATGTTAAGATTTTTAAATACATGTATTCAACTCTTTTAGTTATCTTCTAAGACAACACTGAAGCGCATGCCAAGATATAGAAAAAAAATACAGTCCATAATTAGTTTGTATAGTTTACAGTTTAAGAACAAACAGAAGAATTAACTTTGTATGTAACTCCTTACAATGATAGATTCATTGTTAACTAATTATAATTAAGTTGTTGTTGCTATGGCAACAAAACTACAACATGGCTACCTTTGTATACATTATTTGTGAAATTTTCACATGTAAATTAAAAAAAAAGTAATGTGTAACAGTATGGGTTTGTTTAAGGTACAGTTCAATACTGTCGGAGAAAGATATGACTGAATATTTTTAAAATCCCAAAGTCCCATGTGAACGCTGGATTTGTGTCTTTTATGTCACTTTTTCAGTCAAAAGTTTACAACACATGGATTTAGAGTCAGGTTTTATAGCTTGTAGAAATTGTTGTGTGGGTTGGGTTATTCCACAGTATTTTTCTCTGGGATGATAGAAATGAGAAAGGGGTCGCCACAGTGTTCAAAATGTTAGTTTCATTTCCAAATAGTAGAGATTATGGAAATCTCTGAATACAGAATTTGGTCAACAGACTCTCAGAATGTCCAATTTAACATGCAAGCATGCACACACAAAATCAAGGGAAAGTAATATTCTGCAAAAGAGACTCCTTTGCTTTCAGTTGGACTTGATAGAATTTTGCAACCGGTCTCAATTTTTGTCCTTTTGCAAGGGACTTCACAAGGAGAAACCAGTGGGTTTTTCCATCCTTGATGTCTAAAAAGCCATCAGTCAATGTTCTGAACGCAGAAGTGAAATTAATTACACTTTCCTTTAGTGTTTAATTTTGTTACTTGTTTAGTAGTAGTAAATTTATACAGCATTTTTAAGTGGGAAAAACCCTATGGTTAATAAAAAATCAATATGAAGTAATTATGTCAAAATCAGGACCAGGAAAGAAAGAGAAATCTATATTTTTATTTATAAGCAGAAAGAGGAAAAGTAAAATGTGTATGTGAGGCCAAAAAATACTGTGGAATAACTCTGTAACAGTGTTGAAGAAACCAATATGCTGCAGTTAAACTGATTCAGTTGGTGTACGAATGTGTGAGACATGTCTTTTTGCACTTATGTACATAGTCCACGAAAGAAATCCTTGGAACTTATTTTGAATATATTAAAAAAAAAGTCTGTAATAATACAAGGAAAAGTTTGTAAAAGAGATTACTAAGGCTTTGAAAAGGAAGAGATTTTTTGCTATAAAACTTATCTGAACGCATGAAGTTGCTTTGCTGTTCTCCAAGCTTTGTAGTTTGCCATATAGTTTATAATACAGCGGACTGGTCACTTCAACCTGCAGCTCAGAAGAAAAGTAATATGGGAAACAAATGCTTGACTTGGAAATCAGGGTCACCAGCAACGGTTCGGAGAAGGTTTCCGAGCCAGCCCAGTCGGGCGTTCAGAGAGGAGGGTCTGCTGCAGAGCAGGACACCGAAGGCTTGGCCCTTTCGCGATTCATCCAGGCTCGCTCTGGATTTCAAAAGGCCAGAGAAGGGCGCTGGACAGATCTGGCCAATTCGAGGCATGCCTCCTCTCCTACCTAACCCTTACCCAGATTCATGTTTTCTTTTTTTTAAAGATTTTTATCCCACCTTTTTTTTCATATACAACTCAAGGCGGCAAGCATACCAATACTCCTTCCTTCTCCTATTTTCCCCGCAACAACCCTGTGAGGTGAGTTGGGCTGCGAGAGGGGCACTGGCCCAAAGTCACCCAGCCGGTTTTTCACGCCTGAGGTGGGAGTAGAACTCACATCTCCTGGTTTCTAGGCCACTACACCAAACTGGCTCTCAGTCCAAATGGTGGATCTGGTTGACTGGACAGTCCCATCTAAGGCCTCCCCAGGGCCGCCAGGATCACGCTAGGAAAGGGCCTGAATTGGGGAGTTCCCCTCCCAACCACCGAGGTCCAGAGAGTGGCTTTGCGCATAATACGGAGGTGAGGGAGTTGAACCCACAAGCCAGGTACAGCTCTTGAGGGAATTTGTGCAGAGGCTTGTAATTATCTCGGAGAAAGATGCCCCAAGAAAATGTGCACAAGTTTCACTTACGAGTCTGGAAACTTGAGCAGATGAGTGTGAACCGTGTGCTCAGACGCACGTGCTTCCAGCATAAGGAGTTTGAGTCATCTTGATGAAACATTATTAGCCAAGAAACCTTTAAGGCATCTAGATTTCAATTACCCCCCCCCCTTTTCTGCCCTCTCTTGGACCATAGGTCCAAAATTTGACAGTAAAAAATCAGAGTCTGGTAGCGTTTTTTTAAGACCAACATTTATTTTAAGGGGTAAGCTTTTGCGAGCGGGAGCTCACGTCATCAGATGAGTGGCTTAACTGATGTTGGATTTAGGCTTTAGGCTATTTCAGAAGGTCTAAACAAAGAAAGGGGTTTTGACACATTACAAAGGTTAATTGATAAGGTATCTGTAACCTGTCCCCCATGGAAACATCATCTCCATAACCGCCCTGTCTTCTGCTCCTGTTCCCCCTCCCATGTATTTAAATCCAAAATCAGTTTAGCCACTCCATGCATCTGATGAAGTGAACTGCAGCTCACAAAAGCTTGTGCCTTATAATAAATGCTGTTAGTCTTAAAAAGTACTATCAGACTCTTTCTGATTTTTGGCTACCATAGACTATCGCATCTGTCCTTCCACAAACATCTACAATGAGAAAATTTGACAGTGCGGTTGCCAAAAATTGATGGACCACAATGGGCTTAATGCAGTTTTAAAATGAAAAATTGGCCAACTTGAAGTCCTCCAGTTGTGTTGGCTTTCAACACTCAGAAACAAAAACGGCTGGTTGGGGAGTAGAAGAGCTGAAGTCTAACCTAATCAAAGGAGGACACGCATCTCCTTAAGGCCTCTTTCCCCAACTAAAGACCCATCTGAAGGTCCCCTGTGTTGGGGAGAGGCTTCTTTTGGAGGTGGGCGTCCTTTGATTGCAAACAGAGGGACGTAAGCCACTCTCGTAGCTCATCCCAGCGAGCTCGGCAAACTCTACCTTTGCTGGTGACCCTCATAGCCACGTGTCCTACAATCAGAAGCTTCGTGCCTTCCAAAGAAGGCAACTGGAAATGCAAAATAATCCCCCAAACTGCCAACAGTCAATAACAACAATTGAAATGACAAAAAGTGGTCTTTTCCAAACACACAACAGAGGGAAATCACCTGACGTAGAATTTACACGGTTCCAGATCTTTGTTACTGTACACAGATGCTATTTGATAGTTGTGGAAGCCAAATGATTTTGTTGCCATGGCTCTTGGTATCCAAACAGCTGAGGGGATGACTGGCCATTTGTCTAATATTTGGGGGGAGGGGAGAGGGTATTTCTGTTAAATTTTGCTTTCTTTCAGGTTACAGTCACCAGGACTGAAAAGAAAATCTTCCAAAATTCAGAATGTGAAAATAACCTATAAAGGGGTGGGGGGGGTTGCATTTAAAAAAAAAAATTGTGGGGGGAAACAGAATTGCAGATTTTAGTGCAGAAATGTGAATTCTGCTACAAGGGAATCCATGATCAACAGAAGATTTTTTTAAAGCAAAGAAAACCGCAATCTTTCCCCACATTTCAAATTCAGATTTTTGCCCTAAACCTGGGCGGGGGGCGGTTCTGATCCTAAAGTGTAGATTTGTAATGGGTGCATTTGGACTTATTTGACTTGGGTCTCTAAAAAAAAACAAAAAACCTCCAATTTCGGAAATTTAAAAGTCCAAAGTTAATAAAGAAAAAACTAGACTGTTGAGTAAAAATATAATCTTAGGGGCACCTAAAGGAGACTCGATAGAATCAGTTGATTCGCTCTCAGTCTGGTTGCACAGTGATGCGGATGCAGATTAATCCAGTCGATTAGTTCCGGCCAGTAAGAGATCATTCCCTCGGTTGTTATGGACAGCATATATGCTTTGATGTTTTTTTTTCTTTTTGCCACATTTATATTGCTAGAGTGCTTGTTTGTGCTTTCTAGAAACTTGCATAATGCAACTCATTTTACTATGTTACTTCTATATTGTTATTGTTTATTTTTTTCCGGATCTTTTAATAAAGTGTATAAAATTCTCTCTGTATGTTTTTTATGAACCTATATCAACACATTTAATAAATAGGACTTTACTTTTTAAGTGTCTGGTTGATTAGTCACAACCTTGAAATGGCTGTTCAATCATTTTGTATTGCAGAAACTTTATATTATTTTCTCAAAAAAGGAAAGAATAGCGCTGTTTGGTGGTTGCTGTGTAAATTAAACAGAACAGCTAAGTGCCACCACTCTTGTCTTTGGAAAGGGAAGAAAAAAGATTGATTATTCATGTTTTTGGCTTTTAAGCTGATACATGTTTTTTAAAAAGTTTTAACTGGTTATTACTTATTTCTTTATTATGGATGGGTCTTTACCAATAGAAGCGAAGATGTGCAGCTCAGGGTTGCACTGTGGAGTCCTCGGGGTTCTCTGAGCTCGGTTGTTTCCTTGCAAACGTTTCGTTACCCGGCTAGGCCACATCTTCAGTGCGGGACCGGGGGGGGGTTTGCCTTTTTTTTTTACCCTGTGGCCTGCCCTGCCGGTGGGGGTGGGGGTGTCGGTTTCGTTTTACTTTTTACCTCTGCTAGTTCCTTCATTAGGGTATTGTTTACTGCTGATTGTATGTCTGGTGATAATCTTGGTGTTATTCTCTGCTTATCTGGGCGATGATTGCTGGTGAGGAGATGTTCTGGTCTTTCGTTTTCCTTTCTGTTGTCCCTTTTGAATAGTGGGTAGATGTTGTTTATCTCCATGTGCCTATGTGATGGGGTTTTTTTGCATTTTAATTGCATATAAGTATCTAATG